GGCCTCATTGTGCTCCCAGGCCCGTAATCTGCATGGGCCCCCTTACCGACTCCTCAATGCTGTGTCAGGCCCGTTAATGCTGTCCATGGGCCCCTGTACCCGCCTGCTCATTCAGCTGCCAGGATCCAGATGGTCATGGGGTCCCCTGTACTGCTCCCATTGCTGCTGTCCTATCGCCACACTCTGCCATGTGCCACATTTCCGAAATTTTTCCACGAATTCGCCGAATCAGTCGAATCGAATTTTTGAATACTTCGCTCATCTCTAGTTGTCACCTTCTCACCAAGCTGCTTGGCGATAGTTTTGTAGCCCAGTCCAGCCTTGTGTAGGTTTACAATCTTGTCCCTTGCATCCTTGAACAGCTCTTTGGTCTTTGCCATGTTGGAGAGTTTGGAATCTGATTGTTTGATTGCTCCTGTGGACAGGTGTCTTTTATACAGGTAACACAATGAGATTAGCAGCACTCCCTTTAAGAGACTGCTTCTAATCTCAGCTTGTTGCCTGTATGAAAAACACCTAGTAGCCAGAAATCCTGCTGAATGATAGTGGATCAAATACTTATTTCCCTCATGAATATGCAAATCAGTGCATAATTTGTTAGACATGGATTTCTTTTGAATTTGTTGTTGCTATTCTGTCTCTGTGTTACAATACACCTACCATTCCATTTTTAGACTTATCATTTCTTTGTGAGTGGGCAAACATTCAAAATCAGCAGGGGATCAAATACTTATTTCCTTCATTGTATCCCACAGTACACACAACATGGAAATGCAATCATTTTAGTAAATATAAACTGATAAATACCCTTTCTCATCAGCATTATACAGTATAGCAGTCTTGTGCCTTCTATCAGTTTCCAGCTGAGCACTGGTTAAAGCTTGTAGGAGGAGTTTTCATTCTGCTCTGACTGTCCTATGAGGCTGCATAACCCCTGACCCTCTGTCTGGACAGTGCTGATTGGCCTTCTGCTGATCATATGCACCCTCCAAAAGAAAAAAAAAACTCTCTAGCCATCCACACTAAACTGGGGATATGCAAAGTGACTCCTAGAGCTCTGTAGTGTCATCAGATGAACTGTGGACAGTAGAAGAAGGGGGAGATCAAAGAAGACAGGATCAAACTGCCTTTTTACACAGGGTTAACCCCTTAGATTCCACAAGCATGCTTTACTGCATATACAGATTGATTTTACTGTTGTGGGTTAGTAACACTTTTAGTTTTGGGTTTGAATGGAAGCAAGGTTGGATGTGAGGGCCAGTTAAAAAAGCTAAGATTAGCAGGTAAGGTGTGTGGTGAAGGCAGTTGGTTTTTTTTCTTCAAATTTTGGCTTAAAAAGCTGATCACTGACAGCACCAGACCATAACCAATAAAAGTTAATTACAGTGATTGCACAGGGGCCCTTCTGCCTTAATAGAGTATAAACATACTGTGTGTACTGTAATGTGCAGCCTGCAAAAGGCATACATTCCTTTTTAAAAGACGAGATAGTCATAAAGTTTAGCATGAAATCTATCGATCTTTCTTTTTCAGGTTGATAGCTGCACAGAGTCAGCTGAAGCAGCATGTGACATCCTGTCACAGCTCGTAAACTGCTCCATTAAAACTCTTGGACTGATATCAACGGCAAAACCAAGTTTTATGAATGTTTCTAAGGTATGGCAAGGAGTGCTAAAAGGACTAATCTAAATTCCAAATATTTGTTAAATTAAAATCACTTACATACATTTCAGACACATCAAAACAAAAAGGTGTACACATTTTTATAGTTCATTTTCTGAAGATATCAGCCACAAACTATTCCCTGCCAGTATGCTCCAGAGAAGGACCCTTGCTCTCTATGTGGACGCAGTGGTCTGTCTGGATTGTAAAAGACCTGGGGCACCCAAATGCCATGGTGAAAAGTGGGTGTAGACAAACTGTGCTAACAGTGGAAGGGACCTAAAAGAGTATAAGTATTCCCTGACAATTTTAATGAACACTTTGTCAGGAGTATGTAGTTTACAATATAGCATGCCAGGTTTAGATATGTAATGGCTTGCATACGTCACAGCCATTGCACCCACAAAATATGCTTTAATTTTTTTAATGTTGCTGTGCCACAATCTACACATGTAATCCTCAGCACAATCCTTTAGCAAAAACTGTAAATCTTCCATTACATATGCTTTTCTGCTTACAGAATATTGAGAAAGATAAAACTTTGAGCCTACTTTAAAGAAAAACTTAATTGTTTCAACAGTTGCTGGATGATAAGTAGTCCCTGACGATTTTAATGAACACTTTGTCAGGAGTATGTAATGTCCAATATAGCATGCCAGGTTTAGATGTGTAATCCATAGAGTGCAAGGGTCAGTAGTGTGTGTAACGTATAGAGTGACGGGGTCAGAAGCATGTAACCCACAGAGTACAGGGTTCAGCAATATGTAAAGCACAGAATGAGGAGGTCAGTAGTATGTAACAGAGTGAAGAAATCAGGAGAATGTAAAGCACAGAGGTGAGGAGTACTCAATGCAGAAAGAGCAGGGGTCAGGAGTGTGTAGGACACAGAGCCCTGCAAATAGCAATATGTAAAGCAGAGAGGTAAGAAATATATAACAGAGTGCAAGGTTGAGGAGTATGTGGGACACAGAGTTTAGAGAACAAGAGTCCACAATGCATAGAACACAGGGATCAAGAGTGTGTAAGGTAGTACAGTGTACAGGGGTAAGGAGTACAGAATACAGGGGCCAGCAGTATGTAACTCACAAAGTGCAGGGGTCAGAGGTACATAAGTCTTTGTAGTGTAGGTGTCAGGATTGTGTAAGACACAGAGTGCAGGGTTCAGTAGTGCGTAAGGCACAAAGTGTGTATCTCACAAATTGCATGGACCATGAGTATGTAACTCACAAAGCTCAGGGGTCAGATATCTGTAATGCAAAGTGTCCAGGAGTGAGTAGTGTAACACACATTGTACAGGATTCAGCAGTACATAAGGCACAGTGCATAAGGGTCAGTAGTACATAAGGCACAGAGTGTAGGGGTCAGAAGTATGTAAGTCACAAAGCTCAGTGTTCGGTAGTATGAAAAACAAAATTGGGGGGCATCAGACTCACAGTTCTCTGCAAGTCTCATCTGTAAGGTGTAATAACATGGTCTGTGCCTGCTGCCCATCATACCTGTAGCACAATGCTGAGGGAAGTGCCCTGAAACTCTTTGTTGCTTTACAGGTCTGCTGAGCAGAGATAAAATCTGACAGCTGCCTCATGCAGGCCATAGACAGTTCGTTTATCGGCCAATTTTTCGTCCGAAAAAAAAAATCGGCCGATTTTCGTACCGTTGGTGGGGCAATGTCATCGGCCAATTTTTTGCGGTTCCTCCTCATTTCTTTTATCGGTCATGCTGGAAAATTTGCAAAAAACTGCAGATTTTCGCAGTCATTGGTGGCAACAGAACTACCAAGGTTTCGTTTTTCGGCCGAAAAATCAGCCGATAAACAAACCGTATATGGCCTGCATAAGCTTCCAAATTGAAAAAAAAAAAAAAGGGATGTCCTGGCGGTGAGATCAGGGCCCTCAAGCCCTTGGTGCCTGGTGCTAATGATGCTGGTGTTCTCTGCATGCTGAATCACATCTTCTGTACATATATCTGCAAATCTCAAGCTCTTGGCTGATTGGAGAATTCTGGCTCTGACTTATCATGACAAGATGAATATGCTAATAAACTGTTAGTCCTTAAGTCAGCATTAGTCTTTCTTTGAACTGTTAACATTAGAATTGCAGGTTTCTAGCAGACCCACTGCTATAACGTGAGAATTGGCTGAATGATCAACCATGTGCCTCAAGTCTAAATGACTTTAAGCACTAGAAGCTCCCTGTACTGCACATTCTTGTACCCATGAAGTCTGTATTGGCACAGAAATGGGTTTCAGTGCTTCCAGACAGATGTTTTGTTTGTTAAAGAGTTGCGCATAAACTAATTTGTGACAGTTATTTATATCCCATACACTACATACTATAGCCATACACTTATGTATGGCTATAGTAAAGGATACTACATAGTTTGTCTGGCTGAAAAAAGACAAAAGTCCATCTAGTTCAACCATAAAAAAAAAAAAATTTTAATCCTACACCCACAGTTGATCCAGAGGAAGGCAAAAACCCAGCAAAGCATGATCCAATTTGCTCCTGCAGGGAAAAAAATTCCTTCCTTATCCCCCTAGAGGCAATCTGATATTCCCTGGATTAACTTTACCTATAAATGTTTGTATCCAGTTATATTCTGTGTATCCAGGAAAGAATCCAGGCCTTTTTTAAAGCAATCCACTGAGCTGGCCAGAACCAACTCTTGAGGGAGTCTATTCCACATTTTCACAGCTCTTACTGTGAAGAAACCTTTCAGTATTTGGTGATTAAATCTCTAGTACTCCAGATGTAAAGAGTGCCCCCTTGTCCTCTGTGATGACTTCAGGGTGAATAACTCTACACCGAGTTCACTATATGAACCACTGATGTATTTATACATGTTGATCAAATCTCCTCTTCTCAAGAGAGAATAAATTCAGTTCCTCTAATCTTTCCTCATAGCTGAGCTTCTCCATGTCTCTTATCAGTTTGGTTGCCCTTCTCTGCACTTTCTTCAGTTCCCCCATATTATTTTTGTGACTTGGTGCCCACAACTGAACTGCATATTCCAGATGAGGTCTTACTCAGTACTAGTACTATGATATTATGCAGGCTGCCATTGACAATTTTCTATTTTGAAAATGCTTGTTGCCAGGTTCTCACTGGCTCCAATGATTAGTGAATGAATACTTAGAGCAAATATTTAGATCGAAAATTCTGATTTCACTGTCACTTTCTGATTATGGTATTTCTGGGTTATACTGAATATACTGAACTCCAGGATAAGCAAATATTGTCTGATTACCAAAGACATGTTGAATATTGACTCTTTGGTGTGCTTTGTGCTTTTCTTATCTGTGCAGATCTATCTATTGAGGAACTTTGCTTCCGTGCAGCAGCTTCCTGTAATAAAAAACAGTCACTACTGCTCTACCTCCTTGTGTAGGTTGGCCGATCATGTATTCTAGTTTTCTGCAGTTTGAAGTGGGTGGAGCCTGCTGGGTCCTTCTCACAGCTCTGCACAATCTATGTGTAGCACAGTCACTGCTACTTTAAAAAATATATATATATATATAAATGCTTTTGCAAGGGAATTTGGTTCATATAAAGTGGATTTCAATCCTTTGAGGAATTTATTTAAATCAGTGTTTTTCAAACCAGAGGACAGCTTTAAAACCAGTCAAATCACTAACATTCTCAGAAGGTGGTCAGCAATGGAAGCCCCCGTATTTTTCTGTAAGGCCCAGAATATTCAAACTTTTGATTCTGTTGGGTGATTTTTTTTTCATTACATATATATTTCTTTATAATATTTATTCTTTTACAGTGAACCCAATATCTTAAATAATCCTGATTTTTTTTTTTTCGTAGTCTCACTTTGTATCAGCACTGACTGTGGTCTTTGTCAACTCAAAGTCATTGTCTTCAATAAAGATCGACGACACACCAGTCGATGATCCTTCACTGAAAGTTTTGGTGGCAAATAATAGTGATACTCTGAAGCTGCTAAAAATGAGCAGTTGTCCTCATGTTTCACCTGCAGGTAAGAAACATTCAAGGAAGAAAACAAAATAATTAAGTATGCTTTCTAGTGATGCCATTGATGTCTCTTTATAAATATCCAATTTGCTATAGCTTCAAATGTACTGCCTTTCACAGGTACCTAGGTGAATACGCGTCTCTTGCAAACACTATATATATCCAAAGGCTATATACCTAACATAAAAAGAAACAAAGCAAAGTGCACTTGACAGCACAGGTAACTCACCTTTAAATGAATAAACTGATAACATTGCACTTAAAAAAAAATATGATTTCATCAGGCCATTGAACCAAGAAGAACGTATACTGTGGGTGGCCAGATCACATCAGCAGTTGCTGAAATCACTCTGACTCAGCAGCCAGCAAAAAGGAGAGGTGAAATCAAAAGATGGAGGATTTTGGAGTGCACACTATACTTTTTAAAGTGATTTACCTGTGCTATTCATTGTGCTGTGCTTTGTTTTTGATTTTGTTATAGCTAAAACAATATCTTGTTACACTTTTCTTTAATCAAAACTGGATAAATTCAGTGTGCCCATTTCTGAAGAATTAGTTGGCCACATTTTTGGCTAATACTTCCCACACAGTCCAATTTAGGAAAGCCTTTATAAACTTTTACTGTTCTTAAACTCTCTGACCCTTCCCAACAAACCTTCCTCCCCAATATAAAATACCTTAAATCACACTTATCATGAGAATTGTAAAGTAAAGGTAAAGCTAGCACAACAAAACTGGTCCTTACAGCTCAAAGTAAAAGCTCTTGAATTCATAGGAAGGATGACATGAAACAAAACCAGCAACCTGTTTCAGAGTTAAGAAAAGCCCCCTTCCATCAATACATAAAGTGTTACTAAACCCACAACAGTAAAATCAGTCTGCATTTTGCAGTAATGCATGCTTGTTTATCCTCTGCATTGTGTAAAAAGGCTGTTTGATCCTGTCTTCTCTGATCCTCCCCCTCTTCTACTGTTCCCAACCCATCTGCTGATAGTATAGAGCTCTAGATCTCACATGCTCAGTTTAGTGTGTAGTGCTAGAGCATTGTTTTTTTTCTTTGGGAGTGTGTATGTGATCAGCACAGGGCCAATCAGGACTGTTCAGACAGAGGGTCAGGGGTTATGCAGCCTAATAGGACAGTCGAAGCAGAATGAAAACGTCTCCTACAAGCTTTAACCAGTGCGCAGCTGGACACTGATAGAAGGCGCAAGACTGCTAAATACCTTTTCTCTCAGCAGTATATAGCAGTTTATATTTACAACAATACAAATACAAGCATTTACTGGTAGTGTGTACTTTGGGAGACCAGATAAAGTGTTACTAAACCCACAACCCTGCATTCACTCTAAGTTACTACATGTGCATTAAAAGCTGAACTCTGGGCTCCTTAAGAAGATTAATTAAATATATTCTGCAATCATAGGAAGTAGCATCTGCCTGCATAAGGTGCACGAAACAAACAATGTTTAATTCAAAGACCAAACATTTTAAATTTTTTCATGAAATATGTACTTTTAGCCACTTCTCAAAAACTCCACTCCTCCAAAATGAGGTGATTGGAAAGGAGAGGAGTAGGTGATCAATAAATTTGAACTAAAATTTTTTAGTTTTTGTAATATAACATAAATAAATCTATTGTTTACTTTTTTACTGCCAACAGGAATTTTGTGTGTAGCTGATCAGTGTCATGGCCTTCGAGAACTAGCCCTGAACTACCACCTTCTAAGTGATGAATTGCTCTTGGCTCTTTCCACTGAGAAACATGTGCGTCTTGAGCATCTTCGTATTGATGTTGTAAGTGAAAACCCAGGCCAGACACAGTTTCACACAATAAAAAAGCAAAGCTGGGATGCGCTCATCAAGCATTCACCCAAGGTCAACATTGTTATGTACTTCTTTCTGTACGAAGAAGAATTTGATGCATTTTTCCGAGAAGAGACTCCTGTTACTCATCTTTACTTTGGTCGTGCTGTAAGTAAGGCTATGTTGGGCCGCATAGGCATGAACTGTCCTCGCTTGATTGAATTGGTGGTTTGTGCAAATGGACTTCAGCCTTTAGATGATGAGCTCATCCGCATTGCTGACCGTTGCAAAAATTTGACGGCCATTGGCCTTGGAGAGTGTGAAGTTTCCTGCAGTGCATTTGTTGAATTTGTAAAAATGTGTGGACGGAGACTAACACAACTGTCCATTATGGAAGAAGTGCTCATCCCAGACAACAAATACAACTTTGGAGCAAATCCATTGTGAAGTTTCAAAGCACCTTGGCAGAATGTGGTTTCCAGATATGATGCCTACTTGGTAGACTAACAGGACATCATTTTAGGATGCTTGTTGCTTTAGTTTACTATGCAATAATTCTTTGATACATAGATAATGTGGTACAAACAGTTAAATACAATTACACATTTACATCATGCTTACAAAGCAGAAGGCCAGTCAGCATTAAAATACAGGAACTAAACATATCCCAGTATCAAAAATCAAGTGGTTTATTATTTAGGAATGTGCTAGCTATATCATTTGTATATTTACTTGTACAAACCAAAAAATCTTTGCTAATTGCTTAGCATTAAGCACTTTATGACAGTCATTTGTTTATAATATAGTCAGTGTTGTTATAAATGTTATTGTTTGTTCTTGTAATATTTTATGATAAAATTAACTATTTGGATTTACAAGATTAAGGGATTTGGACCATTAGGTTAAGTTAAAGTATTATTAAACCCAATTTATAATCTGTAAATCACACTTACATGCTGTCAGAGTTGCTGACAATCTCTCTTTTCAGGCCCAATTATCATCCAGAAGCTGAAATTCAATTTATGGGAAAAGACACTTCCTTCTGGCTGATGGCTACATTGCCTTGCAGAGTGTTTCCTGGAAGTCAAACACAGCCACCTCTGCTTGTGGTGTCTCAGTCCAAAGAATTTACCATGCATGTAGACATGCACAGATGGCACAGAGAGACTGCTCCACCCATCAGCTTGTGATTGACAGCTGGTGTTCTAATCTTGGTACTAGCATGTTTACTCATGTGCAGTACATCAGTTTGTCGATCATTGATGTTCACTGTGTATGTTCCTCAGCAAAATGTTTGGGGAAATGCAGGGCAAGGGACAATGATACTTCCAGTTTTGTAAAGTAAAATAGGTATTTGCAAGCACAACGAAAAAAAGACTTGCTTAAAAAGTATTTTGAGGGGAAAAATGTAATTGGCTGATAAATGTTTGTACTACTACTTTAAATTGTAGAGCATATTATATATTTTTTACCCTGCCCTATACAGAATAGATATCACAGACAACATTATACCAATAATTCATCACATAAAGCTCAAATCTGAATTTGTTGTTGCTGAGCTTGTAAAGCTCTAGTTTGCAGTTTTAATTAATAGTACATTTAAAACAATCCACTAAAATGTACCCAAACCTAGGGCAGCTCCATCAACCTTATCCACCTAAAAGTTCACTATCCCATACAATATGGCCAAACATGGCCTCCAAATTTTGGGGACAGGATCTACTAATCTGTCAATGATGGAAAAAATGTTCTTTTCAGACTTTCCATTAACATGTCAAACCTATGGTTAAAAAAAAAATGATCCAGATAATGACCTGCTAGCCGGAGTAGTGTCTTATGTTTTTGTTTTTTTTCCATGTGCAGGGCTGTCTTTTACCGGCACAAGGATGCACAGCTGTTGTGTGCATTCCCATGCTGGAGTCCCTTTCATTTCTGTTGGGACATGTGGCTGCACGGATCAGTGTCCTGATATAACATGCAAGTGTGTGCAGGTGCATTTGGGGACATGCAAATACTCACAACCAGGGGCGGACTGACCCTTTGGAAACTCGGGCAGTAGGGGGTCAGTAGGGGGCCCCATGAGGATTTTTTCAGTTTGGGCAAGGACACAGGGGCCCCATGGTCCCCTATTGCCCTGGGGCCCCATGAGTTGTCAGTCCGCCCCCTGCTCACAACTGCATGTTATATTAGGACACAGTGGCTGTGCCTGTTCAGCTGTGTGTCCCAATAGAAATGAATGGGACTCTGGCATGGGGATGCATGCAACAGCTGTGTATCCCTGTGGCAGTAAAAGATGGCCCTGTACAGAAGACGCATGTCTGTGCCCCGTCTGCATGGGCCCTAACAAACTACCTAGTCCTAGTTACTTCTAGGTTGCAGCAAGGGGCACACTATAGGGTTTATTTTACTAAAGCTGATTCACTCAGAATCTGGTGTAGCTGTGCATGGTGGCTGATCATCTTCTAACCTCAGCTTGTTCAATTAAGCTTTAGCAATAAAACCTGGGAACTGATTCACAAGATTCTGAGTGAACCAGCTTTAGTAAATAAACCCCTATGTGTGAAGCAAAATCATTCACTGGGTATTTAGCCAGAGCCAGCCAACCATTGCCTCTGCTTTACTATGTACCTGCGTTGCATCACCTCCAGATGCAGAAGTTTTGCAAAGAGGACTACTGTGTCCTGGAAGGAGACTACTTCAGCTATCAGGCATTTGGGGGATCTTATTTAATTATACAAGTAGTTTACAGCAAGGAGGCAGGAATGGCAGGAAACATTAATACTTGGATTTAGGACCCTTTAAGAAGGGTTTTGTTTGCATGGAGTTCTTGGATGCAGTCATTGTGATTAATAATTATGTTTGATGAGAGCTTGTTAACTGGTATAGCAGCAAAGTTTGTGAAGGCTAATCTTTTGCTAGTTGATGTACATAACTGTGAATACTTTTAAATATTGAATATACTTATACATATTTACTATATTTAAGACACTGATCCATGTAATATTGTCTAGGAATCATTAAAAATCCACTAGACTTTTTTTGCAGGCATAAGACAGAACTATGAAAATAGTTACATGCAGTATATACACTCACTGCCCACTTTATTAGGTACAACTGTTCATTTACTTGGTAACACAAATTGCTAATCAGCCAATCACATGGCAGCAATGCATTTAGGCATGTAGACCTGATGAAGACAATTTGCTGAAGTTCAAACTGAGCATCAGACTGGGGAAGAAAGGGGATTTAAGTGACCTTCAATGTGGTTGTTGGTGCTAGATTGGCTGATCTGCGTATTTCAAAAACTGCTGATCTACTGGGATTTTCACACACAACCATCTCTAGGGTACAGAAAATGGTCCAAAAAAGAGAAAATATCCAGTAAGCGGCAGTTGTGTGGATGAAAATGCCTTGCTGACGTCAGAGGAGAATGGGCAGAGTGGTTCAAGATGATAGAAAGGCAACAGTAACTCAAATAACCACTTGGTACAACCAAGGCATGCAGAATACCATCATCAATACACAATACATCAAACCTTGAAGCAGATGGGCAGCAGAACACCACAGTGGGTGCCACTCCTGTCAGCTAAGAACAGGAAAAGGAGGCTACAGTTTGCACAGGCTCACCAAAATTGGACAATAGAAGATTGGAAAAGCGTTGCCTGGTCTGATGAGTCTCAATTTCAGCTGCAACATTCAGATGATAGGGTCAGAATTTGGCATAAACAACATGAAAGCATGGATCCATCCTGCCTTGTCTCAAAGGTTCAGGCTGGTGTTGGTGGTGTAATGATGTGGGGGATATTTTTTTGGCACACTTTGGGTCCCTTAGTACCAACTGAGCATTGTTTAAATGCCAGAGCCTACCTGAGTGTTGTTGCTGATCATGTCCATCCCTTTATGACTACAGTGTACCCATCTTTTCATGGCTACTTCCAGCAGGATAATGCACCATGTCACAAAGTTCAAATCATCTCAAACTGGTTTCTTGAACATGTCAATGAGTTCACTGTACTCTAATGGCCTGCACAGTCACCAGATCTCAATCCAGTAGAGGGTGTACAATTTATGGAATTGGGGCGCTAAATGAGTAAGAGAGTGAAAAATGATTTAGCTTATTAACATGGCAGAACTTTAGACTGATGGCATTTTATAGAAACTGTCTATTATGGAAGAGAGCAATCTCTGGGATGATACACCTACCAGTATCCTAAAATATATTGCAAGAATTTCAATTAATTTATTTATTAGGCAAATCACTTGAGGTTTCTGAGCAGCAGTAAGCCAGCTCCTTGTATATCTAACCTGAAAAAGTGTATAAAAATGTTTCCCTCTTGGCCACAAATAACATTAAAGGTCTTCTGTAAGCATGTATTGTCTAAAATTTCTCATGAATTTAGAGTCACACAATTTTGGAGTCTGATTAGTAGTTTGTGTAATACAGGCACAGTAAACCTATTTGTAAATTATAAAGCAGCCAGAGTGGTATATGAAAAAATAATTGACTTACTGATTTAATTTTGTATATTGTTTGATATCCTATATGTTCTCAACTTTACTTGTGATGCATTGTACTTAACTGCTGTATGAAATGGGTGGTATTCAAAACGTATGCTGTAGACCTTCATTTTTACACTATACAGAGATGATCTGAAATAGGTTTTTTCATACATGTACTTTTGTATGAGCTATATCATAGTGTTTAAAAACTAACAATGCTGTCGTGCATGTCAATGTACAAGCTAGGCTTTGCAGGACAGGTTTTTGTGACACTTTTTTTTTTTAGATATGCTTTTCACTTGCCAGTTTGTGATTCACCTGAATAGTTGTATACAAATCTAACAACAATTCGATTAATGAATTGTACATTTCTTTGCAGACCAATGCATGCAGATACCCAGGCCAATAAAAAAACATGACAAATGTACTCTGACAGTGATAATCACCATTCCATTCATGTCCCAACAACCATTTCTTCCTCACAGATCCTGGTCCAGATCTTGGAGACACCATCCATCGTCTCATTAGGAGCATGCCCCAATGTTGTCAGGCATGCATACAAGCACATGGGGGCCATACAGACTACTACCATTTTGAGTTGCTGCAATAAAATTTCAGCAAAATAGACTAGCCTGATGCATCATTTTTTCACTTTGAGTTTCGGGGTATCTTTGAATTCAGTTCTCTGTAGGTTGATGATTTTCATTTCCATCAACGATGGGGCATCCTTTTGTTCCTAACACATTACCCAATCCATATCAGTATAAATATCCAGCATGATATTTTTTTTTCCCTATTGAGATCTGATGTGTTTTCAAAGTGTTCCTTTTTTTTGTGCAGTGTACAGTATATTGTATTGTGTAGTACTCGTATTTCCTCTCTATTTCACACAATTTAGATCAGTCTGTTTATTACCTGATTTAAGCTCTTTGAATATGCACTTGAAGGCCTAACAAATTGGGAGAATGTCATCAATCACAAGCAGGCATCCAATATATTGCC